ATATATATCAACATAAGTTTTATCTGCTTTTATTTATTAAAGAATATATATTATGAAAGTTTATGTGAACAGTTGGACCTTATATTATGAGCATAAGAGTAACAATTAAATTTATTTATTGGGACATAAATAAATCTTGTTATAGTGAACTAATTTATTTTTCATTTATTAAGTGACTACGTAATTTTAGTACTTTTTGAAAGTAAAGGTCAATGTTTGACTTGATTCTGATCAGTGATAGAAAATTCTATTCAGTGGTTTTACATGTTTTACGAATTCCATTGATAAAATTTTATCTATCGGGCATGGACAGTGGCTATTTCCCATGTACTTACTTTGTATTTATTTTTCTCTACTGAAAATAACGGATTGGCGGCCCTAGCGCAGTTTAAATAATTCAACTAGGTCATTAAACTTTAATCGTTTCCGATGCACACCTCTTTAAATCTCGTGGATTCTCGATATGTCAATCACCTTCTGATTTATTCATCGTAGAAAGGTTAAAAAAGAAAGGCGTTTTATCGCCTGAAGTCAAAATGCCGTGATGCAAGATCTGGAATTTATAAGAAGCCGAACTTCGAAGTCAATGTGCAATCTTAAAAAAGAGAGAGACGGTTGAACGTCGTTTCTATAGTATTAAATCGCACAATTTTATTCTATTTTGAAATCTTGAAAGTCTAACTTGTATAGAGCGAAGTGTTAAGGGTTGCGAAACGCAACTTTCGGCCCGATGAATGCCAAAAATAATCTAGGAAGTTTCGAACGAAAAGAATCCCTTAATTGCTTTTGGTACATCTGATGCCGTTTTTACGAAAACGAGATTGTAGCCGCAGCCTTGCATTCGTGTTCGTTCTATCGATTACTGTTTTAATTATAGATTTGAGTGAAACGAGTGCATGCAGTCATCAAAGATATACACACAACGCAACTATTTGTATGTATATACATACATTCAGTAACTCGACTAAGGATTCTTTTATCTCATTCATTTAAACATGCACATGTTTAGGTCAAGGCTAATATTGGATATGATAATCGATAGAAATTAAGATTCTGGTGTATTATCGATAGTTGCACAAGTATAATATGTTTTAAAGTATAATAAAATATAACATTTTCATCCGGGTAATTAAAATTTTGTTTTAAATTCTTATTATTAGTGAATTTTTACAATTTCTAGTGTAAAATTATAAAAATTTACACAATATGTGTTATTAGCCACCAATATCTGCCTTAACCAAATATGACCCTCTTCATTCATTTGTGATGAACGTTTTGCGGTTGATTTTTACTTAATAATAGTAATAATAATATATAAAATAAATTAAAGAAATTAATTTGAAAAATAAATAATTTGGTTAAAACGATAGCTTTGCTAAAAATTCGAGAGAAAATTTAAGATTTAGAAAATAATTTAATAATGTTAAGTAACTTAATACAATTGATTTAGAAAATAACATTTTTTTTCCAGAAAACATGCATATCTAAAAAATGTCATACAGACATAGACATTTTTTGGGGCATCCATAAAGGATATCTGAAAGATATCGTAAAGAAATCTTCTAAAAAATGTATGTTATCTGAGCTAATAATTGTTATTTATACATTTCTGTTACATTATGTCACAACCGTACAATGAACTTTAATTTTATGAGTTTGAATAAAGTACTAAAAAAGTAATAAAAAACACATCAAATACTATTTACGTTTTATATTTTTATCGTTACAACTAAAGTATAACTATATAAGACTAAAGGTTAGAAAAGCTACAGAAACACATGAAGGGTGCGATCCACTTGGCGTTACAAATGCTTCGAAGCTTCCAATTGATCAATCGAAAGGAAGAATTTTATTAATTGACCAATTAAAAACCGCTTCGAAGTAACATTTGTAGCATCAAGTGGACCATAGCCAAAGTCTTTAAACGCTGTTCGGTTGTCGGAGTTTCTCGTCAAGTCGCCGAATTTCTACCGGCATCGTTTCGTGAAGAAATTCGCCCCCGGCTGCTGTAAATGTAGTCCCCTCTACGTAATATGTGTGATTGCTTGTCAGGACATTGACCAGTATTCGACTTTCTCGACACTGTAGTCGAAAAATGTAACGTGAACGAACTTTCGTGAGGCCCACATCGGAGAATCAGCCTCGCCCAACATCGGTGCCTGTAAACAAATAATTGCAAGAGATGGGCTATGATTCAATCACAGTAAACGTGAATGTTACGTTATGTTTGCCGAACGTTTTAATAACTGTAATCCACCGTAATCACGATTATGAACATTTCACGATAATCGCTTTACCCGTTATCTTCACCTATCGAATGAGATATTAAAAAGGCATATCGACTTCGATTAATGATAAGAGGACATTATATCTGTCCGTCACCTTCACGCGTTGAGTACCGATTCAAGTACATTTCACGATATTACTTTTTGTGAATTTTAAATCCTTTTACGATAATAAAAGTAATAAAGGTTTTGTAAACAAGTTTAAGTTCATTTACCCTGTGCTAGAGGAAAAGAAAAAACTATTTTGCAGACAAGAGTAAATAATGGCATTACATAAGCAATTTAAAATTATTAACATCAGTTTATAATTCACTGATTCTAGATCATACATATCTATATTCATGTATTTTTAACGGTTAAAATAATTTTAATGATTAATAGATGGATAAAAAAATATCTATTAGCAATATAATTAGTTTTTAATTAATAAGTAATATAATTAGTTTTTTTTTGGATAAAAAAATTAATCCTTTGCATATTGTTTATTTAGCAAAAAGTTCCCATATTTGTTAACGTCATAAGTGAAAAATGACATGTTGAAGTTTCTTGCATCCTATTTGTAGAGAGAGAGAGAGAGAGAGAATTTTGATAAAACAAAATAATAAAATGGCTTTAAAAGCCTTGTAAAAATGGGCTGCTCTTTATTCTCCTAACAAATGATAAATAGGCGTATTTTCACTTCACGTGTTTTTTACGACTATTTAGTAATTGTCGGGGGGAGAAATAGCTTCAGCTCATTTTTACGAGTGTTTCAATCATTATTTTATTAAAATTTTTTTTACAAATAACATGTAAGAAACTTTAATGTGTCATTTCTTGCTTATGAAATCACGATCCAATATGGTTGCAGCGATTAGTGCGGAGCGAGTTAATTAAAAATATTTGTTAACGTATAGAATTAACGCTGAAATCTGTAAGAATATTTGTATTCGCTCCCGAAATATTTCAATAGCATTATATTAATTATTTGAGTATTAACTTGAAAGGAAAATAACAAGGTGTGGGACTTTGAAATAAAATACCTTGACATATTAATTTTATGAATATATTTTTACATATATATAAATTAAAAAACGCACGATATAATTTTCTCTTTTTATCATTTTATGCATTAATATGCGATTTCTTCTAACGATTATTAAATTTTCAATTGATACAATAATAACATACTGCTTAAATATTTATTTATAAATATATAAGCTATGTATTCTAACGCGTATGCTATGTATATAAGATCGTATCAAAGAATTTGCACTGTCGATCGCTATTAACAATTCTGACAGAATATTTACAAATTTCGAATTCCAATTGTTGACATCATTATCCATTCGCATTGCATTATTGTACATTTGTAAAGGAATGTTTTTAGCAGTATATAAGCTGCAACGTATTACAAAAATTGAGATAAAATACTGACACCAGTGATAAAATTAGATAATAAATCTGTACTGTTCCATAAAATAAAGAAAAATTATAAAATATAGGTGCTATCCCATATAAAAATGTCTATCCTATAAAATAAAAATAAATTATTGTGCCAACAATATTTGACTTGTTAAAAAGCAACTGTCATAATCATTGTTATTACCATCCTATCTTAGGAAAGAATTCTGCAACGTCCTGAAAGACCTCTTCCGGTGTTTTCATAGAATTAACTTTATAAACTAAACCTTGCTGCTCATACATTTCTATGATCGGTAAAGTATTTTTTAGGTAAGTTTGATGACGCAGGACCAAAGACTGCTCATTGTCATCGCTGCGCCCGCTTCCACTGGCACCACGTTTCAGGCAACGCTGAGTACAAACTTCTTCACTGCACTCGCAGAATATTACGCCCTTGAGGATAACTTTGTCAGCCATCATCTGTCATCAACATATGCCATACATGAAATAACTATAATATGCAAAGTCCAGTGCCTACAATCGATTAATTATTAGAGAAGCATGCATGCACAATCTTAAAGTAAATGGTAATGGTAATCATACAATCGCATGTGCGTGCGCATACGTATGTGTGTAATATATATATATTTTTTTAAATTTAACTATCAACCAAATAAAGAAAGGATCATATAATATGGTTGAGACTAGAGCTTTGGTATTGGATACTATTTGTACTTAAATTTAAAATCCATTTTCCAGTTTTTAACTGTGTCCCAATTATTATAATATTGTTAGATTTAACAGGCAAACATAAAGCTGAAATAATATCACAATTAAATTGATCAATTTAATATAATATTCAATGCTAATAAGCATCTTAGAACACTCCGAAGGACTTATTATGAAAACTATTATTTATATTAATTATCAACTCTATATCAATATGATTATTAAAAAGGTTTTAAATGATAAAGCTAAATTAAAATAACATGAAGAAATAACTTAATGAAAAATTAAACTGTTCTAAACACAAGCTTCACATATCAGAATCGAATATTTAGACATTCTTTTATGAAAATAAAATATTGTTCTGTATATCAATTTTTCAATTATATAAAAAGCACAATGTACATTCTACTACTGTAGGAGACAAATCCTGATAATAATTGATTGGCAATCCTAGATTTAGCTGATACAACATAAATATTCAAGATGCATATATCCAAGGGTATGTTCCATTTCGTGTATGACACGTATAACGTATCACTTTATCCTTCTTCAATATTCGTAAGAACAACAAGGATAAAATAATTATGCGCATCGTGCGTGAAATAAGATGATACCTTAGTCCAACCGTCAAGATTATCCTGATTCCTGGGAAAGCCGTCGATGAGAAACCGGTGATGCGGATTCTCGGATGTCTGCATGGCGCGATCGATGAGGCTACAGGTGATCTCCACCGGGACGATCGTACCGTTTCTGATATGTGTTTCGATGAGCTCGCCATACTCTGAGCAGGGTTTGGCACGTTCCTCGCGCAGCAGATCACCAGCCGATAGATGAACATAACCGTAATGCTCGACAATGTAGCGGCAGAGCGTGCCCTTGCCAGCACCCGGGCCGCCTAGGATGAACACCACCTCCGGCTTTTGCATCGTGACAGCGGACATCGCGCGGATACAACGTCGCGCACCGGCCACAAGAGTCCGTAACATGTACAGAAAATCGCTATATATATGTATATATATATATATATATATGTATATACCAACGCACACACCGCGATCAAACCATTACTAATTATACACTGCAAGTACTATACGGCATACACGCGGCAATTATACTGGCGCCATTTTTAAAAGGCGCTAAGAACAGGTGCATCTAGAATAATCCAGAAGCATAACCGCTCAGTGAACTCTTGTACCTGTTTGGTCTATATTTTTAGCTCTAATGGAATGTGCCAATCAGGTGCAAGAGCTCACCGAACGCTCAGTGAGCGGCCGTATTTCTGGATGCACCTAATGTCAGAAATCGGATACATTGGAATACACGGTTTCTGATAGGTTGAAATCCTTTATTCTTTAATCCGGATCTACAATAAATGTTTTAAGCCCATTCTACATAAAGCCGGTTCTATATGTTAGTTGCAAGCTTACATTTTGAAATCAACGCTTCATATTGGCTGTTGCAACAAACTTGCGATCGTCATGGATGACGCGACGCGCGACGCGCTCAGTGGAAACGTACCATAACACGAATGACTAGGAAATGGCGAACCAATCAAAAGTGGTATCCTGATGGCCAATCTCTGTTAAAGGGTCTCTTCAACATCACAGACTTCTCTGGGTTTGACATACATATTCTATGATTGTACTGTGACGAAAAGAGGAGGTGAAAGAGATATATTTTTGTTAACCTCGTATAAATATTTTATTATTGTGAAAAGGAAAATAATGCAAACATGTCTATGGTATTTATAATTTTATGTTGCATAATTGTGTAAATGTTATATTTCAATTATATAATACTAAATCTTTTTTTCATCTTAATTCTTAACGTCCATATTTTTTATTTTAAGCTCCACAGTTTGTTATCGATATTTAATACAATTTTGTTTTTAAAATTTTACTTAGTTAAATATCACAAATTTAGTAGAAATAAGGACATATTAAGAAATGCACGGAACATCATATGATTTCAGTGTCACTAGTATTAACGTATATTGATTTTATCTTCTTAATATATAATTTATTTTATAGCGACCTGATGATCACCGAAGGAAATGGAATCGAGAAGAGTATGAAAGGATTGCACTTCAGAGACTTCAGGATGAGATTGCAGAGGAAGAATTAGGAATTCCCAAGCAGCCAGCAGTTAAAAGAGAATTGCTGAAGCAAAGAGATTACAAGGTTGATCTCGAATCTAAATTAGGAAAAAGTGTTGTTATCAATAAAAATACACCATCATCACAAACCGGAGGGTAAACTTCAATTCCCAACTATCTCTTAAAAAATATTAAATATACAATAATTGTTTTATTATATACATTATAGCTTATTAATTTCAATATATCTTCAGATTCATTGATTTCTCCATAAAAGATGAATGTGAAGTTTTGTATAGAAATTATCCATCTATTATAAGTGCTTTCATCACTTGCATGCATCGTATTTTTATTATTTATTTAAAAATCTTTGAAAACTGTAGTTTTCAAAAAAAGAATCTAACAGCCAAATAGTATCTGATCTTTAGGAATAAAAAAATACACAAGATGCTTGTGGTAATATCAAATATAATGCCTACTGCTGTTTTGAAACTGATTTGTCAATACGTATTTGCATGAGACAAAAGTTTTATGACTTCAAGAGAGGCATAAAAAGATACCATTAGTTTGATTTTGGCGTTTTCAAGGTCAAGAGGTTACTTTGAATTTTTTAAAATAAAACTCTAATACATATGATGATTTAGACAATTTAGATTTAAATTTTTATTTTATTATATTTACCGTCTAAATCATCATATGTATTAGCAAGTGATTGTTTTTCAAAGGCCATATGAGGTTGTTCCTCTTATTTTTATTTTCGCCGAAATATGAATATATATATATATATATATATATATTATACTATCTAATTATTTATATAGTCTGTTAAAATTGAATGTATATGTAATTATACAATATTGTATATTTTATATTTTTATAATACATATAATATATATAATTTAATTTTGTGCACAAAATTTGTAATTGATCATAATTATAACATCATTCTCATATTTTTATCCACAGATACTACTGCAATGTTTGCGACTGTGTTGTCAAAGATTCAATCAATTTCTTGGACCATATCAATGGGACAAAACGTAAATTTAAATAATTCACAAATTATAATAGAATTAAAATATTTTCTCATTTTAATTATAATTTTTAATTTTTAATCAGATCAACGTAATCTTGGTATGTCCATGAAGATAGAGCGATCTACATTGGATCAGGTTAAAGCAAGATTTGCACAAAATAAGAAGAAACTCGAAGAAAAAAAGAAAGATTATGATTTGGAACAAAGAGTGAAGGAGCTGAAGGAAGAGGTTTGTTTAAGATTGTTCTTTAAGCTTTTTTTTTCGTGCGCGTGTTGTGTAATTTTTTTACAAGATTATTTCTATTATTAGGAAGAAAAAATCAAAGAGTATAGAAAGGAAAAGCGAAAGGATAAGAAGAGGAAAATTGAGGAATTATCCGAGGATGATGCAGGACCTTCCGATGAAATGGCTGCAATTATGGGATTCTCTGGCTTTGGCTCGAAAAAAAAGTGACAAATTGCGGTTGTTGAACGTTCATGAACAATTACTTGAAAAAGAAAATATTCTTCGAAGAAAATCGCGACCGAATCGTATAGATATATAATGTGAAGACAAGTAAAAACAAATAGGTGACGAATAGTTTTAATTCTAAATTGAAATTTAAGGAGACGATTTATGAATGCACGTTTGCAATGATTTTTCATTTTTCCATTATTGTTACAAGAGTTTCGTATTTATTTAAGATAAGTAAAAAAACTATCAAATTACAAGTCTGACTAACTTTACTAAACGTGAGTGCAACAAATAATATAAACTCAAATTGTAATTAAGTAATTAAGTAATTTAATTGTAACTAAGTAATTAAGATTAATTAAAATTAATTATTTGGATACAAACTAAATTGGGTAATATTAATTATTTAAGTATATTTTGAAACATCTTTGTATCTTTGACGATTTTATATCTCTCTGTGAAAATGCTGAACTTTATACTCAACTAACGCTGGAAGAGTATGCGTATGTGTAGAAATAAATTTTACGAATTAGTGCAAAGAAAATTTAACATCAATACTTTCCTTAATTATTTTATTTAGATCACATTACATTATTTTAATGCTACAGACAGCATTTGTCAACGATAGATGCGATTGACCAATTCCAATTGACTAACCGTCGATTAAAGTTAATCGAAGTTGGTCGAAGTGGCCTTAATATCAGACTGTGAGAGCAACATTCAGATAATGTTTCAGTACTAAATTTAAGCAGGCAACAAACTTTTTTTTGTACTTTACTCTTATATTTTTTTTTACAGGTTTATTGTTATTACTTATTACATTTATTTCGCAAATAACGGATTTGAAACTTGGATATTTTAATAGTAACATAAATTAACAATAAACTCCTACATTATTGTTAAGTACAATTTATCATTCTATACATATATATTGTTCCATAACTTTTCTATACATATATATTGTTCCATAATTTTTTTTAAGGAAAACTTGCAAGCTAAATCTTTTTTTTTTGCTATTTTTTAGCAACAAAAAAATTAGTTAGATTTGATTCTGTTCACTTTGTTCCGCTAACTTATGAAACATCCAAATTTATCGAGATACATCATATTAAAATCCGAGTATACATGTATCTATCTACGAATCGAATACCGAACGAACACTGAATGCTAAAGATTGTTGTTATTTGTTACATAAATGTCATACAAGTTCGTTGCGGTATGCAGCGAATTTTTAAAATATTTTCACGCACACACTACTCACTTTTTTATACTTCTTTCTAAATTTCTTTTGTTTCTTTTTACTCTAAATTTTTCGTGGCATACAGGTGAAAAATTCTGATATATAAAGACTTTCCACTTATCTCGGAACACTCGTAAGTATCATTTCACCCTTGTTGTTATCAAATATTAAACAAGGATGAAATAATGCATGCGAATATTGCGAACGTTAAGTGCAACAGAACGTAGCCGTAGTATGCCCCCATACTGTTGTCAGTCCCGCAAGAATTGGTAGCAGCGACAATCCGAGTCCTGCAACACAAAAGTAGTGAATTCTTCCACCTCTTTCTTCAATATAATTTGATTCTTTCTTTTTTTCTCCTCTCTTGAGAGATTCTTTCGCTAGCAAGGGTGGAGGGAGGAGATCTCCGCGCAGGAGACTCTCGTCTCCCACTTTGCGGAGGATCACAAGAGGATGTTCCACAGCGGGGCCCAAGCTGGAGCCGTTGGGGGCCGTGTTCCGGAGGCCGGAGCGACGCAGTGCCGGTCGATGTGTAGCCGACGTAACTCTCACGCGGTCTTCTCTCTCACAGCTAGGCAAGCCGTCAACCCGTTATTCGAAAGTCCGCGGAAGCCGCGCGCAGTTGCGCGTGTCGGAGTCGCGCATAGTGCTTCAGTCGGTTGCACGTTGACTCGCCGCTCGCGTGAAGTGACGCGACGTGACGTGACGTGCGAATCGTCGCGCACGTGCCATTGGAGGTGTTCACGCCCGGCATCCTCGCATTTCCCGTAAATCTAAGACGAATCTAAGACGTACATCCTCAGGAGAGACGAAAAGAAATTAGTGACAAGTTTTTTTCGTCGAAAATAAAACAAATGTATTAATAGTTTTTTTTTTTTCCCCCCGGAGAAGAGAATATATTTGGAAGAAGCGAAGAAACAGAGAAAAAATGCCTTACAGTGTTTAGCGAGGATATTTTTGGAGAAAAGCAGAAGTGATTGCGAAGTATGTCTCAGTATAAAAGATAGATACGTTCTGATAAAAATTGAATTAATTTCTTGAAGAAAAGAATGAATTCTCTCTGATGAAGGCTCATGTTTACCTTAAAAGAAAAAAAATTGGAATTGATTCATAGAAGATATACTCGTAACAATCAATTCCCAAAGACTGTTCATCTATATAAAATAAAAGGA